CTCTCTCTCTCTCTCTCTCTCTCTCTCTCTCTCTCTCTCTCTCTCTCTCTCTCTCTCTCTCTCTCTCTCTCTCTCTCTCTCTCTCTCTCTCTCTCTCTCTCTCTCTCTCTCTCTGTCTCTCACACCTGCAACTCGTCTCGAGTCTACTGAGGACGTCAAGCAGCAACTTTACCAGATGTTGGTCTGACGCTCAGCGGAGATATTTAACAAAAGCAATTATCTGTCGGCCGTGCAGAGCGGGACGTCTGGAGCACGTCATGTCCTCGCTGCCACTGTAGAATAATATCACAGCTGTTACCAGGTACCGAATATCACCAAATAGCTGCCACGTTATTAGTGTTTGCTGATGGACTTCTCTTTCCTCTCCGGGGTGCTTTATGCTAGTCGTGGATGCGCTGTAGGAATCCATTTGACATATTGAACCCCTCAACTAAATAACCGCCTTAGAAATGTTTCAGATGCACGATCCATCACAAGCAATTCATTTTACAATAGTTTGATATTTTTTGAAAATATGTGTATTCTCCTTCAGATGAGCTGATCAATACCGACCTCATGTCTTTGGCTCTGTTGGATCTAGAGCTGATTAGCTTAGCTTAGCATAAAGACTGGAAGCAGGTTTATCTCCTTCTCGTCTAACTCTTAACGAGAATACCAAAACGTTGTATTTCTTAAAGACACTTGCATGGTCGCGAGTAGGAAAAGGTACTCGTGTGACCTGGTGAACGCTAGTAACTGTAATAATTCCAGAGGTCGTCTGTGATCTTAATCCTGTGAGAATCTGCCATGTCTGTAATTCCTCAAATTAAAATTCCACAGTAAATGACCTACCGTACCTACAATATTACACCAAACACACCATGTGATTATATTAGTACCATGCAAATCGGCCTCTCTCTGACTTTTGGAAGGTTTTTCGTTTTTTCTGCCCCCTGCCCAGATGAGAAAGATTGAGCCTGTGTTTACAATAATAAATGCTAATAATAAATACAAACATGCAGAAATACTGGTGTGATTCTTTAAGGGGCAGCAAAGAGTTAAAATATAAAGTGGTGGGTTTTCATAACAGTCCAAAGGTAATATGACGAATATGAAGTATTTAATGGACGAGCTTCCTGGTATCCACACAGACACACACACACACACACACACACACGGTCATTGATCAAGAGGCTAATTCACAGAGGGGCTGATCAATGCAGCAGCGTTGTTGATCCCGCGTGTCATTGTGTTCCTTTGTCTGTGAACACCCACTGAACGATTTCATCTTTAATCAATAAACAGGAAGCGGTGGAGGTATTGATTATGCTGAATGCATCTAGGAATACATTAACGTGTACAAATACACAAATCTTATCAACTTTTAAACTACAAGTTGGCCACATGTTCATTTATTTCCCACTTGTGAACATAATGATAATAATAATGATAATAATAGTTCATCTCTTTTGGCACATGGATCATTATATTATTATCCTCAAGATCCTGCAGTAATAGATGTGGTTTTGAATGTGATGTAAGAATGTTTTGTTACTATTGTCAGAGAGAAATAATGTGTGATTGAAGTTGTACATGTAGCTTCTGAATATGAATTGCAGAAGCTATTTAATGTCACATGATGAGACACGTGATCAAGTTCTGTGAACAATCCTCTTTCATCTCATTCATCGTCGTCACGCTCGCAGTGCTTTGTGTGATTTCACTCTGTTATTTGTTGACTTGGCGTTGTGTGATGTGAACAGAGAGAAACACACCTTTTATGCTAATGTATCCTGATGTTTCATTTCACAATTATACAACAACTCAGTGGTTTGATTCCGTTTGCTGACATTCAACTGAGCTTCTTTTAGTGTGAAAATGAAAAGAATGAATCGTCATTATCGCTAAAATATCATGTCCTGCTTTCAGAAATAGGGACTCAGATGGTAACTAAGTCCATTCTATTATATTCTGTTTCTGTTCGCTCTTATCTAGAATACTTCGGTTACAGTTTGATTGATTTTCAGACGGTTCTGTGTAATAAACCAGCAGGCGCTCAGGTTAGCGTTTCATATTTCTAAGTAACTGTTCACGGTTGATCGGTGGTCACCACCTCATCAGCTCTCCATGCCGTCTGTGTGACAGTAAAGAGCTGTTAAAGAAGTAGCTGCTATCAGATGCAGATGTTAGGAACCATCAGTCCTCGTCTGCAGGTACACACACACACTATTCACACACATGCACACACGCCACCCTTTTCATATTCCTCATGGAAAATAAATGGTGCCATCAATCTTACAGGAGAGAGAGAGAGAGAGAGACTGAAGAAATGGAGGAAAGGAGGGAGAGACAAAGAGCATAAAAGATTAAAGAGGAAATAAGACGAGAGATTGGAGCACACTCTGTACACAGAAAACAAACACTCAGAGATGTGCAGCGACGAGAAGACAGCAAACATCAGAGAGACAGATGGCATCTTTAAAAAAAGAAAGCATTGAGAGAGAACAGCAGGCTGAGGCTGCTAGCTGGCGCATATGTTGCCTGGAAGCTGCTCTGTGAAGTTCTAATATGTATTTGCTCATTAACCAAGTTGCCATATGACTTACCAGGACTGAGTGGAGCAGCAGAGGCGGGAGGAGAGAGGAAGTGAAACGATTGAACAAATTAGAACCAATGTTTTTATAGAGGGTGTTATCTCACTTCATTGCAAAACACATATATTCATACTTACCTCCATATCAATGGTGATTTTGGTTTGACGTTCCCAGGTTTTTCTTAGACATCACCTCTGGAATGTCTCCACCTAGAATGTCTCCACCCCGATAGAGTGGAGGTGGGTTTTGGTTTGTTGGGCTTGTAGCAATAAAAAGTTACATTTAAAACGTTTATGTAAACATGAGTTTATGGTCTCAATCTCTTCAATACAGCATGATGTTCATTTAGTACATTATGGTCCATTTAGAGTCACACAGACCATAAAGCAGGGGATGCTTTAGGGCGGGGCTACACGGTGATTGACAGGTCTCTACCAGAGACGTGTACGGCGTCTCTGCGTCACTCCTCCTCAGTCCAGATATGGTCACTTCCTGTTCATTGGCTGCAAAAAAAACAACATGGCGACGGCCGTAATCCAAGATGGCAAAGTGGCCGAGTCCACAAACCAACGGGTGACGTCACGATGACTACGTCCACTTCTTACATACAGTCTGTGGTTGGTGGTCCATAAGCGACTGTAATTCAAAGTCGCTGTACTGTTCAGAAACATCACAACAATGATGACGTCGAAAAGAAAAGGCTGCAAAAATAACTTACAGATCATTACTTTAAAGGAATAAATCTTCCCTCTTCAGCTTTCAGGGAATAACTGGACTACAGATCAAACACACACACACAGACACAAACACACAAACACACACACACCATCATCATAAGCAAACTGCTTGTTCAGCCAGTGTTCAGTCCATTCATACAGGATAAGTAGCAGTAACGTAATAAAGCCTGATGGAGCTTTACACAGAGCTTAGCCTGGTCCTCTAATAATGTTTGGTACGGTCTAATTCCTGGTTAATGTAGCCCGGCAGAGGAGAAATAATCACCTCATTGTAGAGCCGGCAGGTTCACTTTCAGCAATTCTGTGTCACTGCAGATGTGTGCGTTACCTGAGCTAACAAGACAAAACTCAGTGATTAGATTTTATTTATTACGCACAGCTGATTTTAATGTGTGTGTGTGTGTGTGCGCGTGTGTGTGTGTGTGTGTGTGTGTGTGTGTGCGCATTTTGTCTCCACAGCTTCGTCCTGGTGTTTGGATGTCTGGTTCTCTCTGTGTTTTCCACCATCCCTGCTCACCAGGAATTCTCTGCACACTGCCTGCTCATCTTGGTAGTAGGACACCCACCCACCCACACACACAAACACACACACACACATACACGCACACACACACAAACGTATGTGTGTGTGTGTGGCTGAGTGATTAGAAATGCTGATTGTGCATTCTCAGCACTATAATGAACTGTAATGATCGACCCCTTTGCTGCTCCAGATCAAAATCACGCTGTTACAATTCAATTAAAGTTAAGAGTCTGTGCCTCCGATGTGATTAAGCAGAACAACCATCAGTCAGAGCAGCTGGAGGGTCGACTCAGACACTTTTCATTCGTCCAGGATGTGAGACATCTTTCTCTGCTTCCACACCAATGAAGTGGAGGAAAGTTATTCCATTTCTGGAGCTCAAAGCAACGGAAAATAACGTCTCTTTTTTAAAAGCAGTGCCCAAGTTATTTCTCTACTGTCCAGCAGGGGGCGACTCCTCTGGTTGTATAGAAGTCTATGAGAAAATGACTCTACTTCTCTCTTGATTTATTACCTCAGTAAACATTGTAAACATGAGTTTATGGTCTCAATCTCTAGTTTCAAGTCTTCTTCAATACAGCATGATGTTCATTTAGTACATTATGGTCCATTTAGAGTCAAACAGACCATAAAGCAGGGGATGCTTTAGGGCGGGGCTACACGGTGATTGACAGGTCTCTACGTGCGTAACGATAAGAGGGCACAACTAAATGCAATACAGACATTTTTAATAAGATGAATTACTGCTGCTCTTTTTCAGGATACATCAACATGTTTAACATGAATAAAAAAGTGTGTTAGTGACTTAAAAACACACTCATGTACTCAATGACAGGACAAGTCATTTAATTCACATGTCCATCATATTGACAGCACAATAGTTTCTTTACTGATTGTGTTTCTACATTTAATAGTATTTTTTTTGTGTGTGTGTGTGTGTGTGTGTGTGTGTGTCCTGCAGGAGTTTGTGATGATCGTAGTGTTTGGTCTGGAGTACATCATCAGGATATGGAGCGCAGGCTGCTGCTGCCGCTACCGAGGCTGGCAGGGACGCCTCCGCTTCGCCAGGAAACCGTTCTGTGTCATAGGTAGGTGTGTGTGCAAGCGTGCGAGCGTGCGTGCGTGCGTCAGACAACACTTGTAAATCATACATAAAACAGGAACACAAAGATCTCTCTTGATGTCTGGACACAAAATAAATAAGAAAATAAAACTAAAATAGGAATGTCAAAATTAAAGTAATGTTTAGTTGTTAACTGTGTAGTTTATCAATGACGCCATTCACAGCTCCAACTCGTTTTTCACAGCATCATATATATTATTAATAATGAAATATATTTAAGTCCTGCACCTCTATGGAACTCAAACATGTCTTTTGTGCAATAAAACACATTTATAATGCCATAAATCAAAAAACAGAAGTTGAATTTCTAAGAAATTTTATTACAAAAATCATTACCCAAGTGTTACCAATATTGGGAAAAGAAACCGAGGCTCCAAGTGCTATATATATACATATACACACATACATACATACGTATATACATATACATACATACACACACACATAGATAGTGTGTGTATATATATATGTGTATATATATATATACGGTATATATATACGGTATATATATATGTATGTATATATATATGTATGTATATATGTATGTATATATATATATATGTATGTACAGTATATATATATGTATATGTATATATGTATGTTGAACTATCTACATTTTGACAACCTCTACTTACAGCCTCTTCTGTATCTCCTCTCTGCTCAAAAATTGTTAAAAGAATACACGAGATGAAATATCACAATCATAAGCTTCAGTATGAAAGGAACGTCTGAAAAGGGTAAACACGACAATCATTTCTGTCCTCTCAGCTTCCGCCGATGATAAATGGTGTATTTTTAAAAGAAAACATGTTTTTCAAACCCTTTCAAAAACACTTTGGGGTTGTTTGTTCTTCTCTCCGGCTTAATATTTCCCTGGTGGTGTCAGTTCACTCTCTACACTTCCTGTTAAACCTGAGTTACGGAGTCATTTCAAGAGATCGTCCTCAGGTTATTACGTTATTTATATACATGGAGGACGGTCTGCTGGTAACACAAGAGAAGAAAAGTGTGATATTTGAAGGGTGGTGGACAGAATGACAGAGGAAGACTAAAGGGAAACAGACGTGGATGGACGAGCCGACCACAGTTCCTGTTACTAATCTTCTGCACCCTGTGACCTTTCACCCCCCGCACCCCCAGACATCATCGTTCTCATCGCCTCGGTTGCTGTGGTTTCAGCCGGTAGCCAGGGTAACATCTTTGCCACGTCGGCGCTGCGTAGCCTTCGCTTCCTGCAGATCCTGCGCATGGTGCGCATGGACCGCCGGGGAGGGACCTGGAAGCTGCTGGGATCTGTAGTTTATGCACATAGTAAGGTAGGACCGCTTCAACCGTATTCAAAGTATCGGTGACGTAATGTACTCGGCCTCGTCTGTCATCTGGGTGTTGTTTGTTCATATAGTGCTTTTTGTCCGTTCAGTCGTGGTGGTTTTTACTGCTCATGTTAACTAACACAACAAAAATGTGAGCAAATATAACTTTTAGATCCCTGATCACGTTTTGTTTGTCGCTGATACTAATTGATGATCCATATTAACAGACACAGATCCACTAAAGCAGCTGGTCTACAAGGATCCAGACTGTTAATAATTTCAACCGCTCTGAAGTCAGTAAACCATCAACAAATGTTCTAAATGTTATACTTTTACTTTGTTATTGTCTTCCATAGTGTGTTTTTTTCTTCAAAAAAACACACAATTCAAATGATTAGGAAATAAAAGATTGTATTTTTATTGATAAACAAATCTCATCAATTATAGTATTTTAATGATGTAGGTTATAATAATGTTCTTAGAGCTCGTGTTAGGAAGTTAAACAGCTCATAATTCATCTCTAATATCTATTTTATATTAACGTGAAAACATCTCCTTCAAACTACTGGATTTATTCAAGTTTATCACTAAAACTACATTTTACAGATGACATGTGAACACATCATGACAACGTTATAATGTACCTTCAGCCAGTACTCCTGTTCACTGAGCAGAGCCTGAAGGCATCATAATGTACCTGAAGTGAACCTCCTGTTGGTTAGCCGTTAGCGGTGCTGCTAACGTTACTAGCTCT